GACTCTTATCTCCAATGAACCACCAGAAAACTGGAAGTGGCGCTATGGCTCAAGTGGTAGAGCGCTCGCCTTGAGCTGAAGAGCTGAGGGACAGCGCCCAGGCCCAGAGTTCAGGCCCACGACCGACAAAAAGGAGAGGGAGAGAGGGAGAGAGGGAGAAAGGGAGAGAAAGAGGGAGAGAGAGAGGGAGAGAGGGAGAGAAAGAGGGAGAGAAAGAGGGAGAGAGAGAGAGAGGGAGAGAGGGGCCACTTAGGCCCTGGAAACCAGTTGTCCACCACGTGGTCAGGCACCAGCTGTTTTGTATTATCTTTCTCCATCTTTTTTCTCTTCCCACTTGGCAATTTGTCAGATGGTGATTGGTTTGTTTGAAACAAGCCAGACCCTCTGTTGGGTGGTGGCTTGTGGGAGGCCTGGCCTGAGTTATGGCAAGACCCAAGGCCCTCCACTGGGCTGCTTTAGCTGTTTGTTTGAGTCAAGTATTGCTTTTTGCTCACTGGCCTGGATGTGATCCTCCTATGTAGGCTGCTTGTAGCTGGGATAACAGCTACTCACCTAGCCCACAAAGGAAACCTTCTAAAGTGAGCGTAACCCTGAAATAAGCGATTGAAATGAGGGCCATTTCAGGGTTGGCAGTAGTTTTCAGCGCACACACAGCAGCAGCCTGGCAAAAGGAATCACAAGAAGTTTTATCTAGTTTTTCCTCTCTGACTGGGACTGGGGATCAGGCCTAGTGATGTCAGCATACAGATGAATGCTTACCATTTCCTGACACTGCTCAGTCCTGCCTGAGAATACTTCACCTGGAAGACTACAGGTGATTCAACTCTCCAAGCTTGGCTTCAAATATGAAAATCCCAGCACAGACATGAGAAGATAAGGCACCAGAACTCCTCCCCAAGGGAGCAATTCCACAGTAACAGACTATGATTATGAAGCAGATGAAATCCTAAACAATTCAAAACAATGTTACAATGATCAACAAAATTAAAGAAGACATAGATAGCTGACGCTGTAATCCCAGCTACTCAGGAGGCTGAGATCTGAGGATCAAGGTTTAAAAGCCAGCCCGGGCAGGTAAGTCTGTGAGACTCTTATCTCCAATAAACAATTCAGAAAAAGCCAGAAATAGAGTTGTGGTTCAAGTGGTAGAGTGCTTACCTTGAGCAAAAAAGCTCAGAGAGGGCTGGGAAGGTGGCTTGGTGGTAGAGTGCTTGCCTTGCATGCATGAGGCCTTAGGTTCAATTCCTCAGCACCACATAAGCACATAAGCAGACAAAGCCGGAAGTGGTGCTGTGGCTCAAGTGGTAGAGCGCTAGCTTTGAGCTGAAGAGCTGAGGGACAGCGCCCAGGCCCAGAGTTCAGGCCCCATGACTGAAAAAAAAAAAAAAAGAAAGCTCATGGAAAGCACCCAGGCTTGAATTCAACCCCAGATTGTTATTAAAAAAATATTGTTATTTAAAAAAATATTTAGTTACACAATGTATCAGTACTGTATCCTCACTTCAGACAGAAGTACTTCGCAAGTGCAACATGTTTCTGTTTGGTTTGGTTTGGTTTTGTGCCAGTTCAAGCTCATCCTCTCACTGGGCCTTTTCACTGAAGACTGGTGCTCTGCCGCTGAAGCTACATGTCCATGTGTGCAACACAACACGTTTACAAAAAAAGAAATCCAGCCGGGCGCTGGTGGCTCACGCCTGTAATCCTAGCTACTCAGGAGGTTGAGATCTGAGGATTGCAGTTCAAAGCTAGCCCATGCAAGAGAGACCGCGAGACTCCTATCTCCAATAAACCACCAGAAAACCGGAAGTGGCGCTGTAGCTCAAGTGGTAGAGTGCTCGCCTTGAGCTGAAGAGCTGACAGACAGCGCCCAAACCCAGAGTTCAAGCCCCACGACCGACCCAAATAAAAAAAAAAAAACAAAGAAAGAAATCCAGGAGAGATGTTATATGGAAACTCTGTACCTTCTGCTCAATTTTTCCATAAACTTAAGTTGTCCTAAAAAAATCCAATTAAGGGCTGGGAAGGTGGCTCAGTGGTAGAGCACTTGCCTTGCATGCCAGAGGCCCTGGGTTCCATTCCTCAGCACCACATAAGCAAAAAGAAAAAAAGCTGGAAGTGGCGCTGTGGCTCAAGTAGTAGAGCGCTCGCCTTGAGCTGAAGAGCTGAGGGACAGCGCCCAGGCCCAGAGTTCAGGCCCCACTACTGGACCGAAAAAAAAATCCAATTAAATTCTTAAAAAACCCACTGCAGGGTCTGGTGCTGGTGGCTCATGCCTGTAATCTTAGCTACTCAGGAGGCTAAGATCTGAGCATTGGGGTTCAAAGTCAGCCTGGTCAGGAATGTCTGTGAAACTCTTATTTCTAATTAACGCCTCCCCCCAAAAAAAGTTGGATGTGGAGCTGTGGCTCAAGTAGTAGAGCACTAGCCTTAAGCAGAAAGAACTTAGAGACAGAACCCAGCCCCTGAACATAAGCCCCAGTACTGGCACTCACAGAAAAGAAAAACACTAGAAAAAGAACTATATGCAAATTTTCTTGATAAACATAAATGCAAAAATATTCAGTAAATTATCTGAAAAATCCAACACATTAAAGAGATCACACACCATGATCAATTTGGCTTCATTTCTAGAATTCAATGATGGTTATACATATGCAAACTGATAAACATGTAAAAGCAAAATAAGGAAAAGAACCACATAATTTTAACATATAAAGCCTTTGCCAAAACCCAAAATAGGGACAGAAACCACATGATTTTTACCACATAAAGTCCTTGACAAACCTCTGTACCTCTTCTTGAGAGAAGCCTTGAAGAAATCAGGACCAGAAGGACCATGTCTTTACATGATAAAGGCAGCATGGGATAGACCTCAGCTAACGCTGAACTAAGGGGAATTGAAAGCTTTTCCTTTATCATCAGGAGCAGGACAGTATTTGTATTCTTAGCCAGATCAGTAAGGCAAGAGAAAGAAAAGGGAAGAAATTGATAAAAATCCTAAAAATCATCAGGAAACACAAAAGATCCTAAATAGTCAAAATAACCATAGCCAAATCAATCCTGAGGAAAAAGATTCATGCTGGCGGTGTCACAATACTTCACTTCCAACAACACTACAGAGCCATGGTTATAAAAACAGCATGGTATTGGCACAAAAGGAGAAACACAGATCAATGAACCAGAATACCCAGAAGTTAAGTCCAAGCAGGTACTTCCATCTGATTCTTGACAAGGGCACCACAACATACATTTGACAAAAGACAGCCCCTTTATTTATATATTCATTTTTTGGCCGGTCATGGGTCTTGCACTCAGGGCCTGGGAACTGGTCCCTGAGCTTGTTTTTGCTCAAGGGTAGCACTCTACCACTTGAGCCACAGTGCCACTTCTGGCCTTTTCTGTGTACGTGCTACTGAGGAATCGAACTCAGTGTTTCGTGCATGTTAGGCAAGCACTCTATCATTAAGTCACATTCCTAGCCCCAAGCCAGCCTCTTTAAACCAGTGATGGTGAAAAACTTGATGGCCACATGAAGACTGAAACTATATCCCCATTTCTCACTCTGTGTAACAGTCAACTCAGAGTTGATGACATTGGAGGTATGGCTCATTTGGTAGAGCACCAGCCAATAAGCGAAAGCAGCAGGTGGCAAGTTCCAGTCTTGGTCTGGGACCTACAGAAACATTATCAAAGAACTTAATGTAAGACTTGAGACTGAACCCACAAGAAGTAAACAGGGGAAACATTTCAAGATATAGGTAGAGATTATAACTTCCTGAATAGGACTCCAATAGCTCAGGAAATAAGAGCAAGAGTTAGCAAGTAGTGTATTGAATTCAAAAGCTGCCAAGTATGATGGGCAGCATAGAACCGAAGAGATACATGACGAAGCACAAAGTGGGACTCTAGCTCAAAAAAGTAAACAGGACTGGGAATGTGGTGTAGTGGCAGAGCACTTGCCGAGCCTGCATGAAGCCCTAGACGTTCGATTCCTCAGTACTACCTAAACAGAAAAAGCTGGAAGTGGTGCTGTGGCTCAACTGGTAGAGTGCTAGCCTTGAGCACAGAGAGGCTCAGGAACAGTGCCCAGGCCCTGAGTTCAAGCCCCAGGATTGGCAAAAAATAAATAAGTAAAAATAAATAAACACAGCTAGGTGCTAGTGGCTCATGCCTGTAATCCCAGCAATTCAGGATGCTGAGATCTGAGGATCACAGTTGGAAGCCAGCCTGGGCAGGAAAATCCATGAGTCTTATCTCCAATTAACCACCCAAAAAGCTGGAAGTGGAGCTGTGGCTCAAATGGTAAAGTGCTAGCCTTGAGCATAAAAATTCAGGGACAGGGGCTGGGAAGGTGGCTCAGTGGTAGAGCGCTTGCCTTGCATGCCTGAGGCCGTGGGTTCGATTCCTCAGCACCACATAAGCAAAAAGAAAAAAAAAGCCAGAAGTGGTGCTGTGGCTCAAGTGGTAGAGCGCTAGCCTTGAGCTGAAGAGCTGAGGGACAGCGCCCAGGCTAAGTTCAGGCCCCACGACCGGACCAAAAAAAAAAAAAATTCAGGGACAAAGCCGGGCGCTGGTGGCTCATGCCTGTAATCCTAGCTATTCAGAAGGCTGAGATCTGAGGATCACAGTTCAAAGCCAGCCTGGGCAGGAAACTCTGTGAGACTCCTATCTCCAATAAACCACTCGAAAAACAGAAGTGGCATTATGGCTCAAACAGTAGAGCGCTCGCCTTGAGCTGAAGAGCGCAGGTACAGTGCCCAGGCTCAGAGTTCAAGCCCCACGACTGACCAAAAAAAAAAATTCAGGGACAGGCCCTGAGTTTAAGTTCCAGAACTGGCATGTACGTATGTGCACATGTACACACACACACACACACACACACACACACACACACACACGCACACACACACACACACACATGCACACACACACACACACACAGAACCCTGAGATAGGAAGCATCAGAAAAGCCCAACAAACTCCACAAGGACAGCCAGAGATCAAAACATAAGTTTTTATTACTCAACCAAAACATCAGTGTTTATAACTCAACGACAACTTGAACTTGAGCAATGCCTAGCTTCTCAGGGCACATAGTGTGGCTTGTGGTATGAACACACAATCATTGTGAGCCTTGGCTATTTTTGGCAATTTTTTTTTCCTTGGCTACTTTTGAAGGCTCTCAGGACACTTAGTTACACAAAACCTGATTTACTTCTAAAAACATGTGAGTCACATTTTTCTTTTTTCCCGAAAATGTTGCCCTTCCCTTACTACATTGCTTTCAACTTCTGCTTTCTTTGGGCTTCTCACTGTTGTGGTAACACAAAGCTTGGACCTTGGGTGGTAGCCCTTTTGCTACACAGTGCCTGGGCCCAAGCCCAATCGCATGGCCTCCCGAGCCCATCTAAGGATGGCCTGGGAAGGAGGGGGTCAGACACCTTAGGCTCACTCACTGGTCTCCAGGGAAACCTGCACACGCCAATCCAAGGCGGGGGCTGTTGCTGGACTCTTTAGGGGAAGCCTCAGAATTCTTGTTAGTGAACTGAACTGTAAGAAAATGATACTCCAATTCCAGCTGACGACGGACAAGAGGCTGGAGAGGGGCAGGCCACACCTGCTCTCTCCGGCAGAAGAGCTGCTTCCCCTCCCGACTTGAGGAAAATTCAGCGAGGGGCTGAAGGTTACTGCAGGCTCAGGCTGCAGAGCCCCTGCTTGGGTCTCAGGGGAGCCAGCTCCCGTACAGCACTGGACCCCGGCCACCGCCCCTTGGCCCGTGTAACCAGCAGCCTTTCACCGCGTGCCAGTCTGACCTTCCACGCCATCCATTTGCCTTGCCCCACAGGCTGGCCCACAGGTGGACCTTGAGTCAGTGTGTCCTGTCAGCGGCTTCTGGCCGCCTCTTTGGCTGTGTGCACAGCCCCACCATAGCAGGGGCTATCACCGTTTGTCCCCTGTCAGGATGGGCTCCCAGACCTCCTGCCTGCAGGCTGGGGAGGGCCTGTGCACCATGAGAACTTTAACTTCCAACTCTAGGGGATCTGCCCAGGTAAACACTTCAGCTCTCAAATTCATCACTCTCCTCAGGCCCCTGTCTGTTCTCATGTTCCAGGCCAAAGTCTATGGAAAAAAGAAGAAATACCACTTAGCCAGTAGGGAGCATGTCCCTGCCTTCCAGAGGCCCTAGACTGAGGACCGGGCCGCGCCTCCTCCTCAGTGCCTACCTAGGGCACTGTCTGAAATAAGACCTTCAGTTTCTAAGCAGGGACCGGCTACAATGGAATTGCAAATTCCCACGTCCCACTGCCCTGGCACCTGGGGCCTGGCACCCTGTGGTTAAGCGCGGGAAGGTGCTGTGATCAGGTGGCTGTGGTCAGGTGGCGTTGGAGCTGCACCAGAGCTTCCTTTCCTCCAGGAGATGCAGGGGTTAGGTTGGGCTGACAAGTCGTTCGACAGAGTAGCTGTCTAACATGCTCCCCCTGCCTCCCCCGCCCCCCCACAGGATGGGGGCCTCAATGGTGCAGCCCGAAGGAGCACTGTGCTGGTGGGGGTTCGCCTGGTTGGCCAGCTAGAGGCAGAGCGCTGGGCTGCGGCTGCAGTATGTGTGGGGTGGTGGGGTGCTCCGCTGGGGGTGGCTGTCTAGGAAGCAGGGCTGGAGGGGCCCTGGGTACCTGGGAGAGAACTTGACGAGAGCAGCTGCAGGCTGTCTAAAACCCCATCCTCATACAGCGCCAGCTTCTGCACCATCTTCTGCCGGGCTGGGTTGATGACTATCTGTAGCGACCTGGATGACAACGATGAAGCGGAGCTGTCCAGAGGTGATCCTGTGGAGAGATGACCCCTGAGCGCTCTCTAGTGATGCCAAGTCACATCCTAGCCTGTGACTCTTCCCTGCCTCCACCCTGGTTCCCTCTCCTGGGCCTCAGGATGCAGTTTCTCAGTGACCCGTGAGGCCAGGCCCTGAGTGGCTGAGCCATGGACCTAGCTCAGGCTAGCCAGGAACTAACAGCTTTTCTTGTTCTGTACTTGGGTTTCAGAAGCAGGAGGACTGGGGTGGGATGGGGAGAAGGCCGGGGGGGGGGCGGGGAGAAGGCCCAGGGAAGAAGCTTCTGGATTCTCCTCATTCACCTATGGGTCATGACTTGAAGAGGGAGATGACAGGCCCAGCGCCCCTCTCAGCCTAAGCCTATGGTCAGCTCAATGCACACTTCCAGGCTCCTCTCCCACAAGCTCTGAGTGGGGAACACGGGGCGGGGGGAGGCTTCTTCCACAGGCTATCCCTGGCCCCTCTCTGGAAATGGGTCTCCTCTCCTGCTCCCGCTACCTTCCACTGCTGCGGGAGGGAGACTCGGGCCACTCTCGTGGCCTGACTCTGCGGCGCTGCTTCCTGGAGTGAAGCCAGCCTCCCTGAGGGGCACAGGGTCTAGAGGGCAGCTTGGTGCTATGCGCCAGGAGTACAGGGCGGCAGAGAGGCCGGGTATACTCTCATCGCTCTCCACAGGCTGGTTGGGGATTTTCCGGAGCCGCTGCGAAGTCTGGGCTGCTTCTCCTAAGGGCCCTGCCAGAGGCTGCCACAGGGTACCCCGGCCCTGATCGCTGCCAGTGGTGGACACGTATGAGTTCTCCTGTGGGGAGGGGGGGCTGTGGCTGATGCCCTCTGGCTCACAAGGAGGTTCTGCTGTTGTTGCCTGCAGCCCCTCTAGCCGCTTGTACACCTGTGTGAAGACAAGAGGCCCTCAGGATGGGCAGAGAAGCCCCCAGCTAGGCAGCGTGGCCCTGTCCCACTGCCGTCCTGAAGCTACACAGCTGCTCTAGCTTGGCAGTGACCTGCCCTGGGTGTAGACTGCTGCGCTGGGCTCCACTGTGAGTCTGGGGGAGCTGAAAAGCTCTGCTCTTTGTCCTTTTATCCTTGTCATGAGGAGTGTTGATCGACATGGCCACTGAAGCCAAGGACTCTATTCTCTGTTTTTTTTTTTTTTTTGTCGGTCTTGGGGCTTGAACTCTGGGCCTGGGCGCTGTCCCTCAGCTCTTCAGCTCAAGGCAGCGCTCTACCACTTGAGTTACAGCGCCACTTCCGGTTTTCTGGTGGTTTATTGGAGATAGGAGTCTCACAGTCTCTCCTGCCCAGGCTGGCTTTGAACCGTGATCCTCAGATCTCAGCCTCCTGAGTAGCTAGGATTACAGGCGTGAGCCACCAGCGCCCGGCAAGGACTCTATTCTCAATGGTCACCAGAGTAAGTGGTAGGAGGAAAAAGGGAAGACAATGCAAAGGCAGTAGCACAATGCCCCCAGTAGGGGGCGGCGAACAGTTCTTTCCTCTTACCCAAGATATGGGATCTGAGTCCTGTCCCGCAAAGCAGGATCTCTTGCAGCCTCACTGCACTGAAGTGAGGCAGCCACTGAGAACAGAATCAGATGGCAAGCAAGGAATGTTGGGAGACTGGTCCTCAGGAGGGGACCAGGCAGGTGCTGAGTTCAGTGGTCTCTTGTGGGCCAGGAATGGGAGGGTTTTTGTTTTTTTGTTTGGTCGGTTGTGGGGCTTGAACTCGGGGCCTGGGTGCTGTCCATCAGCTCTTCAGCTCAAGGTGAGCGCTCTATCACTTGAGCCACAGCGCCACTTCCAGTTTTCTGGTGGTTCATTGAAGATGAGTTTCATAGACTTTCCTGCCTGGACTGGCTTTGAACCTTGATCCTCAGATCTGAGCTTCCTGAGTAGCTAAGATTACAGACATGAGCCACTGGTGCCCGGCTGGAATGTGCGATTTTTGCCTGGCTACCCTGTCCCCATGGGCAGCTGGCTTCCCCAGGGCTACCTGTGTCATGGGGGGCCTCTTCTTGGCCCTGCGGTGCAGGCAGCAGCAAGCTAGTTGACACAGGGCCATGCCCAGCTGGGGTGGACACGGCCCAGGCTTGGGGTCCATGTGCTTCTTGAAGATCTGGGCAGCAATGGGACCAGCCCAGGCATCCGCAGGCACACCTTCCTGGACAGTGGTCTGCGCGGTTTTCATGGTCACTCCAGCCTCTTCAGCTTCTTCTTCAACCATCTCTTTCTGTGGGACAGATACTATGAGCATGGTCTGAATTCCCCAGGCACTTCCAGCTCAACCCAGTGGTCTTCTTTCTCACAATTTATTAAAAACTCACAGTGTTGGCCGGGCGCCAGTGGCTCATGCCTGTAATCCTAGCTACTTAGGAGGCTGAGATCTGAGAACTGCCATTCAAAGCCAGCCCAAGCAGGAGTCTGTGAGATTCTTACCTCCAATAAACTACCTCCCTCCAAAAAAAAAAAAAAAAGAAAAAATGCCAGAAGTGGAGCTATTCATCAAGTAGTAGGGCACTACCTTTGGGCAAAAGAAATTCAGGGACAGAACCCAGGCTCTGAGTTCAAGCCCTAGGACTGGCACATAAAAGACCCAAACCACTGTGTGTCCAGTGTTGCCCAACTTTACACAGCTGACTTCCTGGTGGGAGAAGTAGACAGCCACAAGCTTATTAGCTTATTAGCAAGGCTTGTGCTGCCAGAGCAGCTGACACATAGAGGATTCACTGATGGCTAAAGAAGGTAAAGGAAGGAGAAACCAAATCTGCTTCTGCACTTGTTCACTGGGCTGAGTCTTCACTAAGCCCAAAAGTGAGGAACCATGGTAACTCAAACAGAAGTAACCCCATTCAGAAGGATAAGTGAAACGCTATGGTTGTGGCTCAATCGTAGAGCACTTGCCCAATATGCACAAGGACCCAGGTTCAATGTCCAGCACTGCAAATGTAATGATAAAGAAAAAGAATTGTAAGCCGGGTGCTGGTGGATCATGCCTGTAATCTTAACTACTCAGGAGGCTGAGATTTGCGGATCATGGTTCAAAACCAAACAAAGCAGAAAAAAAATCTGTGAGTCTCATCTCCAATTAATCACCAAAAGCCCCTTGATGGAGCTAGAGCTCAAGTGGTAGAGCAGCAGGCTTGAGCAAGAAAGACAAGTGAGAACACAGAGCCCTGCGTTCCAGCCCTGCGACCAGCACACACACAAAATTACGATGAACCCAAGTGACGGATGGCATTGAAGTTTGTGAAAGGGGAAGAGCAAGCGTTGGTCAAACATATTCTGGGTCCAGGATTTCCCTGAACACTGGGTATATGTTAAGTCTGTTTGGTGTGAGGGAAATGGCAGCCCAGTGAGAAGTAGGTATTTATTTGCTCTGAGGCCCTCTGTGCAGTTGTGAGCAGAATCTTGTCTCTGGGTCTCACCTTGGTACATGGTGATCAGACAGGACTGCAGGGGTGTGGGGGGCAGCTGGCGCGTCCACTTGTCAGTTGCCTGGTAGGGCCCAGGGGACGCTTGCCATCCCACTCCATTGTCTCTCACTGCCCTCTCCGGACTCTCTGCAGGCACCAGGACTGTCCCTGCCCTCCCTGTCCCTAGCCCGGGTGGCATCTCTCAAGGCCTATGGCTTTGTTTGAGGGCTCTCACATTAGGCAAGTGCTCTCCTGACCAGTTAACATCCCTAGCTCCAAGATGATGCACAGAAGAAAGACAGGTTTTGCCTTGCAAGGTAAAGGAAGCTGTGAGGAGCCCTGCCCACTTTCAAAGATGAGTCAGCAGCAGCAGCAGCCCTTCCCCCTGCCCCCAGTAGGCTTCTGTGGGCACAGTGCTTTGGATCCTTCCACCTCTGGAACTGCAGCTGCTGGTTTCCAGAAGCAGCACATCCTTCCCTCCCTGCTGCTGTCTGGAGGCTCACCAGATACTTGGTCTTGGAACCATGTGTCCGCACAGCTCTCTGGCCAGACAGGGTCTCCAGCACCACCTAAAGAGGGTTGGATGGAGAATGACACCCCAGGTCTCAATAGACATGCGCAGGGTGCAGACAGGAGACATCTACAACGGACATGGATTGCAGTTCACTGGGGCAGCCCGGACAGGCCAGATGGGGACTGGTTCCCAGCAGGAACAGAGCCAAGTGTTATGGGAGGGAAGCATAAGCAACTGAATTTAGAGGGCCCATTTGAAGCAAAAGAATACAAAATTAAGCTGGGTGGCAGTGGCTGTAACCCTAGCTACTCAGGAGGCTGAAATCTGAGGATCATGGTTCGAAGCCAGCCTGGGCAGGAAAGTCCCTGAGTCTCTCATCTCTAATTGGCCAGAGGAAAAAAACCAAAAGTGGGAGCTGGGGCCCAAGTGGTAGAGTGAAAAAAGCTTTGATTGAAAAAGCTCAGGGACAGTGCCCAGACCCTGAATTCTAGCCCTACAATGGACACAAAAAAAAGAGGGGGGGGGGAAGAATGCAAAATTATTCACAACAACAAATTAGGTGCAGGGGAAGGGGCATACAAAAAGGGTGGGAGGGCTCTGGAGTGGAAGCTGGGTTAGTATCTCATTCGGTTAGCCCCTGGCCTCAGCACACAATTCTCCAGGCCCTCCTGCCTATGTTTACTGGTGGCTTTTCTTCCCCAAAGCCAGCAGAGGGGCTAGTGACTTACCACCCCAAAGCTGAACGTATCAATGTCCACGGCCAGCCGGCCTGTCTTGATGTACTCCTCAGGCAGGTAGGCCAGGGTGCCCCGCACAGTGTGGGTCCGGGCCACGGTACTGCTCTGGCTGGGGTTGGCACCTGCAAAGCGGCTGAAGCGAGCCAGGCCAAAGTCTCCTAGCTTGGGCATCAGTCTCTCATCCAGAAGGACGTTGGAACTTGAGGGGGAAGAGTGGTATGAGCCCAGGCCTGGCCCATGCCCATGGCCAGTGGCTGGCACTGCTCTCAAACACTGCTGCTTCCTTGCCTAGGTCTAGTTCCGAGGCTCTCTTCCATACCTTGGCCTCAGTTTACCAGGCGGGCACACTGGGAACCTCATTCCCACCCCTAGGTCACATACTGGTGCTCAATAGCCGAGGAACCTCCAACTTGGAGGTCTCAGGCTGCACCTGTGCCCAGCAGGACTGGGCACCGAGGCACGGTTCCCAGGTGAGCAAGCCACTGCTTCCCGTGGTCAGAGGCTCTGCGCACACAGCGCAGCTCAGCGCCACCTCACCTCTTGATGTCTCCGTGGATGAGGCTGGGGCTGTAGTCATGTAAAAATTGAATGGCTCGGGCTGTGCCCAGAAGAATGTTCAGTCGCTGAGACCAGGAGAGCGGAGGGCTGGCCTGGTTCTGGGATGGCAAAGAGATGGACAGGGGAGGCTAGGCAGCTGTTCCCTCATCACAACCCTCCCTGCATCTGTCACCCTGTGGCTCAGAACAAGCCAACCTCCTTGCTCTTCTGTTCAACCTTGGCCCGCCCCCCTTCTGAAAGAGCAGGCGCAACACGTTGGGAAGTCACTTTAAGACTGCGAAATAGCTGCAGACCGTATCTCGGGCTTGGGTTTCTGCAGGTCAGTCCTTGCCCCTGAGCGGTTAGGAAGCTCTTGAGGACATTTTCCCTCTGCTCTCCTCCCCCAACACAGCTTCAGTGAGGAAGCAAGGAAGCTGCTGCTCTGTGTGTTCTCTGCCCTTGCCTCTTGTGAGCCCGTCACGGAGGTGGAGCCTCTGGTAGAGCTGGACAGACAGCCTGTGCCCACCAATGCCCGTTCCTCAGGAGCTAGCTGATGAAGGCCTTCAGCATCTCCACTGGCACAGAGGAGACACTTTAGCCAACAATCCCCCTTTTAGAGGCCAGCCAGTGAAAGAACGCATGAAAGACTTTCACAGCAATCTCAGGCCAAACCCTGAGCTAGGTACCGTAAGGGAACCAGCAGCCCAGGCTCTGCCTGGTGAGAGGCCCGCTTACAAAGGCCAAGCCTGTGCCCAGGGCAGCCCAGGTGCCAAGAGTGTGTCCTGGGAAAGGTGCCAGGGAGGGTGAGCCTACCCGAAGGTGGAGACGGTTTTCTAGGGAGCCATTGGGCAGGAAGCCATAGACAAGGCAGTAGGAACCATTCTCAGCACAGTAACCAGCAAAATCCACAATATTTGGGTGACGAAACCTGTTTGAAAGAGTGGAGTCTAAAGCTGGGTGTTGGTGGCCTACACCTGTAATCCTAGCTACTCAGGAGGCTGAGATCTGAGGATAGTAGTACAAAGCTAGCGGGGACAGACAAATCCATGAGCCTCTTATTTTCAATTAACCAGTCCAAGCTAGAAGTAGAGCTGTGGCTCAAGTGATAGAGTGCCATCCTTGAGTGGAAAAGTTAAGGGGGTGTGCCCAGACTTTAAACCCCATGACTGATATATGCACACATGAAAAAAAAGTGGCGCCAGTGGCTCGCCCCTGTAATCCTAGCTACTCACAAGGCTGAGATCTAAGGATCATGGCTCAAAGCTAGCCCAGGCAGGTAAGTCCGTGAGACTCTTCAATAAACCACCAGAAAACCAGAAGTGGCATTGTGGCTCAAGGGGTAATAGAGTGCTCACCTTGAGCTAAAGAGCTGAGAGACAGTGTCCAGGCCCAGACTTCAAGCCCCATGACTGACCAAAGTGGCTGTCTAGGACATTCTCTTTCCATTGGGACAGACTGGGTGGGCAGTCCCTGCTGCTTCCTTGCCTAGGCCTAGGAGGCCTTGGGAGCCCAAGGGAGCTAGGCCCTGTGGTGTACAGTCCTAGAGACAGATGGGGTCCTGCTGTGGCTCTCCCTGTACCAGGAGGGACTCATGAAGCTCACCTGGACAGCTGCTCCACCTCTGTCAGGAAGCTCTGCTTCACCACAGACCACTCTAGGTCAGCCTCCTACAGCCAGGGCGTGGTAGGGAAGGGACAGAGAAAGTAGGCAGCATGAGCCAGGCTCACCAGCACTTCCAACGCTACCTGTCTGGACCAGCAAGGAGGGACTAGGGCTGTTGAACTGGAATCAGGACTGAAGGAGTTGCTTGGGGAAGCTGGAGGAAGGTGGGGATGGAAAGGTGAGGGATGATGAGAGGGAGGGACTGGAGAAACAAGGACTGGTAGATGGTGCTGGAAGGTGCTGGAAGGCCACACCTACCTCTTTCAGTCTCTTCACCGCATAGGTGGTATTCCGCATCACTGCCTGGTACACACACCCAAAGCCACCCTCCCCGATCAGGAGCTCCTTGGAGAAGTTTCGGGTGCCCTGGGAAATCTCACTGAAGGGCCAGCAGAAAGGGGAAGGGTGGACCGTCTGCAGAAAGGGCACTGGGCTCTCTGGGCTTGGCTGTTGGAAGAGATCCTGGATGAGGTGAGGTGCATGTCTTCTCCCTGTCTCTGCCTGGGCACCACGCCCCCAGGACCCTGGCTGCCTCCACCCCCCCTCCACTCCTCTTGACCCCCCTCCTTGGCTCACCAAGGCTTCCTGGTGCAGCAGAGGCTGTTTCTTCCTCCTTCCTCACAATAGGGGGTGGGGGCAGAGGGCACCTACCTTAGTGGAGGAAAGGGCTGGAGAGGGTAGTTGTGGCCAAAGGGAAGCAAAGCTTGGGACGGGGCAGACATCAGGCCCTGAGTGGGTCTGGAAGCCTGGAAGATCTTCAGAAAAGAAAAAAAAAAGCGCATGAGAGACTGGCCAGCGCCCAGCGGCGCAGTCTAATGCCATGGCAACCAACCAGGAAACCCAACACCTGGGCCCTCTTACCTGGGGAGAGGAGGGTGGAGGTGGAGGGCTGTGACTTCCGGGGACTCCAGGACTTGGCCTCGGAGGGGGCAGAGACGATGCTGGGCCTGGGAGCAGTGGCATTTGGGGGAAGGAGGGGGGCAGGAGGGTGCCCTGGGTCGCCAAGGAAGGAAAGGAAAGTTGAGGCTCAGATGGCAGAGGAGCCCGCGGAGTCCTGCCATCTCTTCCTTGGCTTCGGTGCGGGTGCCCTCCCACCGCTCCCCATCCCCCGGGCCCCCGGGGCTCCCGGGGCTGCGCGCGCTCACAGGCTGTGATGATGTCTCGCGCACGCAGCAGCTGGAGGTGCGTGAGGATGTGGACGAGGTCGGCCACGCGCGCGTTGCGGTTGATCCAGGGCCACAGGACGGTAGCCGTGCGTTGCCGTGAGCGCTCGCACAGCCGCAGCTCCGTCTGATCGCGCACGATGAGGGCCGCTGCGGGGCGGGGTGCATCAGGCCCCGCCGTGCCGATCCCGCGCCCCCGCCGCCCCCCGCGCCCCGCCTGCCCGCTGCCACCCACCGAACTGGCACCAGTCCGCGGGTTCCAGGGCGTCCATCACTTTGTAGAAGCGGCACATGACCCAGGGCGGCACCTCATACAGAAAGTGCTGGGCGCCGGGCACCGCGGGCTCCCCCGGGCCCGGCCCCCCGGCCATGGCCGCCGCCAGGCCGGGGCCTCTCGGGGCCGCGGCGGACGCGGGCCTGAGCCGGCTGGGTTGGCGGACACTGACTCACTTCCCCTTCAAGCTAGCCTCGTGCGACGCCCGGCGAGACGGAAGGGGCGGTGCTCCGATCGGCTGCCATCTTGCCAGCCTCACGCGCCTCGCCCCTCGACCACACGGGGGCGTCACGTGCCGCCCTCGGTTGCCGAGCGGGGGGGGGGGCAGAGGGGTGGTGGTGGAAGGAGCCCTGGCTAAAATGGGGACCCCGCGTGATGTAATGAGCGCGCCGGCCCGGGGTTTCGACTCTCCACCGCGAGGGAATGGTCAGAATGGACAGCTGAAGGATGGGTTACGGCTCAGAGGTTAAAGGGCACAGGGAAGGCACAGAATGTTCCAGAAAGGCACCTTAATGCCAAACCTGGGGAAAGCCACTGAGAGGCCCTGTGGAGAAGTTTGGCTTTACTTAGCAGGCAGTGGAAAGTCAGAATTCTAGACAGGATAGGGTCCGGTGTGGGTCTTAAAAAGCCTCCCTGACTGCCTGGCTGTGGTTAGTGCTGAATGCACAGAAGATCTGGAAACTTGCACACCACACACCAGGTCAATGCCCTGGATACTGTTTCTGCCACCTGATACTTTTTCTTCTTTGCAGGCTCCTTACTAGCACATGGATACACTGTCTTTTTTTTTTTTTTTAATATTTTTGGGTCCGGTTGTGGGGCCTGAACTCTGGGCCTGGGCGTGCTGTCCCTCAGCTCTTCAGCTCAAGGCTAGCGCTCTACCACTTGAGCCACAGCGCCACTTCCGGCTTTTTTCTTTTTGCTTATGGGGTGCTGAGGAATGGAACCCAGGGCCTCATGCATGCAAGGCAAGCGCTCTACCACTGAGCCACCTTCCCAGCCCCCCCCTTTTTTTTTGCACCAGTCATGGGGCTTGAACTCAGGGCTTAGGCACTGTCCATGAGTTTGGGTTTTTTTTTGGTTCAAGGCCAGCGCTCTACCACTTGAGCCACACCTCCTCTTCTGGCATTCTTTTTGTTGTTGTTGTTGGGGCTTGAACTCTGGGCCTGGGCGCTGTCCCTTAGGTCTTCAGCTCAAGGCAAGTGCTCTACCGCTTGAGCCACAGCACCACTTCCAGTTTTCTGGTGGTTCATTGGAGATATTTCTCTCTCAGACTTTCTTGTCTGGGCTGCTTTGAGCCGTGAGCCTCAGATCTCAGCCTCCTGAATAGCAAGGATTACAGGTGTGAGCCACCAGTACCCCTACCCCCCCTTTTTTTTTTGCCTGTCTTGGGGCTTGAATTCAGTACCTGGTAGCTGTCCCTGAGCTTTTTTCCTTAGAGCAATCATTCTACCAGTTGAGCTATACATCCACTTCTGACCTTTTTTTTTTTTTTTTTGTACGTGGTGGTTAATTGGAGATGAGTCTCATGGACTTTCCTCCCTGGGCTGGCTTCAAACTGTGATCCTCAGATCGCATCCACCTGAATAGCTAGAAATACAGGCATGAACCACCAGCATCTGGCATTTATCTTTAAGTTATTTTGTTCTGGTCCTGGGGCTTGAACACATCAGGACTGGTGGCACTGTCTTGAGCTTTATTGTTTTGCTCAAGACTAGCAGTCTCCCACTTGAGCCACAGCTCCACTGCCTTTTTTTTTTTTTTTTTGATGGTTAATAGGAGGTAAGAGTCTCACAGATTTTCCTGCTGGGGCTTGTAACCACAATCCTCAGATCTCAACCTCCTGAGTGTGATCCCAACTGTGAGCAACTGGTGCCCAGCTTTAAGTCATTATTATTATTTATGCTGGTCCTGAGACTTGAACTCTGGGCCTCAGTACTACTGTCCCTGAGCTTTTTCACTCAAGGTTAGCATTCTACCACTTGAGCCACAGCTGAACTTCTGGCTCTCTGGTGGTTAATTGGAGATGAGTTTCATGAACTTTCCTAGATGTGCTGTCTTTTGAATCATGATCCTCAGATCTCAGCTCTGAGTGCTAGGATTACAGGTGTGAGCTGCTCCCCCTCCCAAGTTTTAAAGTTTTTTTTGCTTCACCCCCATATGTAGGACACTCAGCTCCGCTGTCCCTTGCTCTTTGAGTCACAGTGGCTCAGTTTTAACTTCCTCCGTGAGTTCATCAGGGTCCAGCAGTTTCACCCACCCTTTTTTCCCCCCCTTCTGCAGCTCCTGGGGCTTGAACTCAAGACCTGGGCACTTAGCTTTTTCTGCTCTACACCTGGTGCTCTACCACTTGAGCCCCATCTCTCCTTCCACCTCTTTGCTGGTTAATTGGAGACAAAGAGTCTTGTGGATTTATTTGTCCTGGCTGGCTTCATTTCTTGATCCTCATACCTCAACCTCCTGAGTAGCTTGGATTAACAGGCCTGAGCCACCAGCCTAGCTTCTACCCTCTGTTTTGAATTGTCAATTACCAAGCTCAGGACACAACCTGTTTACTTCTTGGCCTCCTGGGTTTCTCTTTCCCACTCCCCCAATGTCCTCCAGCTATGCATTTCTTTGGCTCTTGTGGACATTTTTTTTGTCGATTGTGGGGCCTGGACCCTGTCCTTCAGCTCTTCAGCTCAAGGCCAGCGCTCTACCACTTGAGCCACAACGCCACTTCCGGCTTTTTCTGCTTATGTGGTGCTGAGGAATCGAACCAGGGCCTCATGTATGCGAAGCAAGCTCTCTACCACTGAGCCACCTTCCCAGAACTGGACACTCTATAACCCACATCTTATCAGTCACTACTGAATTCTTTGGAGTACCCCACTTCTCCCTGAGCCCACCACTTGCTGTTAACCATTCATTACTTCTTACCTGCATGAATACACTGGTTTGCACACAGGATCAATGCTCAGATGATCTTCTTGGGCACAAATGACACAGCACTTTGCTGGAGAAAATCGCTCAAGTTTCCCAAGCCCTCCTATGGAGTCCTAGCTCTTCAGAGGGGCCTACAGGGCCATTCCGAGGCAGCCTCTGCCAGCATGTGTCAAGTCCCTCTGTTGCATTAAGCCACTCATTAGGTGTGCTGAAATGTATGCTGTCCCTGAAGCCAGGAGTTGTCATGTGTCACCTGAGCAACCCTTACTAGGCAAGGCTGAACTCCAACTCATGCACACTGGGCTGGCGGGAGTCCAAGCCCCTTCATTTGTCTGACTCCCCTATTGAGTGGGAAAGACTCGCAGGCAGCAACAGGTGGTCTCCTTTGACAGTTCCTCATTCTCTCTCCATTCCAACTGCAAATGGTTCCTTCCCACTAACATGTCCTCTCAGAGACTTACAACTGATTCCAGAAAAAAGGTCCATCCCAGGGCCTCTTCCCTGATAGCCCTAGTGGCTTATGGGACAGCCTTTACTGGGAGAGGCCAACTAGAGAGACTTTCATGTGCACACGTGCTAAGTTCTACAAAGCAGACACATGGTCCTCCTCATGCATCGAGGAACATCTGCTCCTGGATCAGACCTAGCACACAGATGCCCAATTATCTACAGGTTGAGTTTCCAACACTTTCATGTAACATTCAAAGGCAGGAGTGAGAGGGAAGCTTCTTGTAGGTGTGCCTACATTTGCATGTGACCCAGACTGAATCAGTTCACAGTCCCTCTGATCTGTGCATGTTCCTTGACTGCAGCCCAGCACAAGCCTAATGAGGACAACTGTGGCATCAGGGGCCGCCTGAGAAGTCAGAGACAACAAGAGCCTTCTTTGGGAAGTCCGTCAGCATGCACTTGCCCAGTGGGAAAGGCTGGTTAGACATCAGAAGGGCCATGTGAATGTTTTTGGCTAGTATGGAGCACAGGAGTCAGTGCTGGGGGGGAGGGGAGTGCACACAAAAACATCACAACATCTCAGGACCTAGAAGGTGCCCCTACCATACTGGTCAGGAAGAAGATAGTGGTGCTGCAGGCATATTAGTACTAGGCCCTCCCCATCATGTGCTGGAGCAGTGTGTCTGGAAAGCACTGACGTGGAGCAGGCTAAGGATGCCAGGGAGGCCAGCACATGAAGCCGGTTTCCCTTCCCGCCCTCCGCTGTCCTGACAGTGGCTAGCCACGTTCAGAAGCAGCCAGATCAAACAATCAAGTGCACCAGCATGCTGTCAGGTGAACTGGAGGGGACTGCTGACTTACAATGAAAGCCCAGACCTTGAGTCACTTTCACAGAGAGGTTTATCGAGAATGCTAACAGCACAGGATACAGTACTTCCCAACAAAAGGTGCAAACGCGTCACTTAGAAAGGCATGCTGAGTATTCTTTGCTTTCACATGTATTAAAAAACTTACAAAAATAAAATAAAACTGCGTGCTGCCCATCTTTTCAAATAGTAAAAGAACCTTATGAAAAACCACTTGATTTTACAACAAAAGACACAAACGGACATTTTTATGTAAATTTATAAGGCAAACTCTTTATATAATAAATAGGTTACAGGGATTCAGTGGAGGGTGTTTTTGAAACGTATACAGGTACATTCAGACAGGTTTACTGAAATGGTACAAATTTCCTTAATAAATTGCCTTTTGTTTTTAAATATATCAGTGCTTTCAGTCATTTGGCTATACACAAAGAACCTTTTGAACACTACAAAAAAGCAATCAATATTTTTGTTTTTAAAACGACCTACTTATTTTCTAAAGTAATTGTCCCAAAACACAAAAACCGAAGGTGAATGCAACAGAGGGCTTTTTAAAGACCCCCTCCAGCTAAGTCTGTCCCGGGTCTCTCCCCATGCCCTATGCGCCCAGCTCAACCTCACACAGGCTTCCAGGCTGGAGCCAGCTTTCAGCACGGGGCGGCCTGTCACTGGCAGCACACTGGCCCACAGGTCTCAGCCTTCAGGCTGGCAGAAGGGAGCAGGACTTGGGCTGGGAGGGGCAGACACCTTGCCTGATTCTTCCAGGGACTCCACTCCACGTGCAAGTGATCACTACACATAGCACTTTCCTCGCCTGAAGCAAGAAGGGAGCACAGCTCTGTCCCTGTTCCACGAGCCCAGA